AACTGAGGCTCAGAGACTGATGGGCCCAAGATCTCACACCCAAGCCTAGCTGGCACCCAAGAGCATGATTCTAACTTAGGGTGTTGTCTCAGCACCCCATCAACCAGATCTGACCCAGGGCTCCCAAACCCCAACTCCCCCAAACATACATTCCTTCAACTTGACATCCTTGGTGACCTCCCCCAAGAGGCCCCCCTGATCCTCTCGGTCCCTCCCAGGGTTCCTTTAATTTCTATCATTTGTACCTGTCAGTATCCTGTTATACCGACGTTCTACTCGCCCACCCACATATGCCCCTGGGGGTTCTCAGCAAAAATGGTAGAGATGAGGAAGCAGCATAGCCGCCGGCACAGTTCCGAAAGCGGCCACTAGATGACGACTGACCCACTTGGGCGGTGCTTGCAGTAAGGCCATGAGGCCGCCAGATGGTGGTCGAGGCCGCGGCTCCGAGGGCACTGCCCGGGCAAGTTGGAGCCGCGAGGGCCCGCGGGTCCCAGGGTGGTCCCAGTAGCCCTAGCGCAAGTGACCTGGACGCCGCTGCCTCCTGCCCGAACCATGACCCAGCCCGTGCCCCGGCTCTCTGTGCCCGCCGCGCTGGCCCTGGGCTCGGCCGCGCTGGGCGCTGCCTTCGCCAGCGGCCTCTTCCTGGGTGAGTAGGGCCGGGCCTTCGGCACCCTCGGCAGAGGCCCCGCGGGCGGGCGGACGCAGGAGCAGAGCCCGTGAACCCGCGAGGCTGGCTGCGGCTGAGGCTCACCCCTGGCGCCCTGGAGCCCCAAGCCCTGACCCAGCACCACCCCTCCCCGGCAGGGAGACGGTTCCCTCCATGGCGATCCCGGCGAGAGAAGCGCCTGCTGCCCCCTGAGGACAGCCCCCTGTGGCAGTATCTGCTGAGCCGCTCCATGCGGGAGCACCCGGCGCTGCGGAGCCTGCGGCTGGTCAGCAGGGCCGGAAGCGGGAACGGGCGCCCACCTCGGGCCGGGAGGGACCCACGTGGCTGCGTGACCTTGGGCTGGTCGGTGGCCCCCGTCCGCGCAGGCCGGGCACGGTTGGGCGTTCCATGAGGGTCCGCCCCTGGGCCACGCCCACAGCCACGCCTCTGGGGCTCTAAACCTGGGGCTCAGCTGGGTGACTGGCAGCGCTAGTGCGACCCTCTCCTCCCCCCAAGCAGCTGACCTTGGAGCAGCCGCAGGGGGATTCCATGATGACCTGTGAGCAGGCCCAGCTCTTGGCCAACCTGGCTCGCCTCATCAAGGCTAAGAAGGCACTGGACCTGGGTAGGGCACGCGGCTGGGGTCACTGGGGGCCGGAGTCACTGGGCCGTCGCCCCACTCTGGCCTGAGCCTGTCCGTGTCCACATCCCCAGGCACTTTCACAGGCTACTCGGCCCTAGCGTTGGCCCTAGCGCTGCCCCCGGCCGGGCGCGTGGTGACTTGCGAGGTGGACGCAGGGCCCCCGGAGCTGGGACGTCCCCTGTGGAGGCAGGTGAGTGCCCCACACACCTGAGGCCCTCGTCGGGCCCCTGGAGCCCGGCCACTCAGCTCCGGGAGAAAGGACATGCTGACTCTGACCCCGCTCCTCTCGCACGCAGGCCGAGGAGGAGCACAAGATCGAACTTCGGTTGAAACCCGCCCTGGAGACCCTGGGTGAGCAACGGAGCGGAAAGGGCCTTGGCGCCATTTCCCAAATGGGACCACCCGGCGCGAGGTAGTGACCCGGTCCAACGGGCGGGCTTGGGCAATGACAGCCCCACCACCACCCGGTACGCAGCCACATGCAGAGTGGCAGGCAGGGGCCCTCAAGTACCTGAATGGTCACAGCGCCTGGGCCGGCCTGGTCGGGGTCTTCCGGCCGCTGGGGCCTGCAGACTCAGCTGCATCTGCCCCTCCCTCCCCCGCAAGATGAGCTCCTGGCAGCGGGCGAGGCCGGCACCTTCGACGTGGCTGTGGTGGATGCGGACAAGGAGAACTGCACCGCCTACTACGAGCGGTGCCTGCAGCTGCTGCGACCCGGAGGCGTCCTCGCTGTGCTCAGTGTAAGGGACAGCCCCGGAAGAGAAGAAAGACCCTCTTGAGCTGGGTCCGTCTTTTCCTTGGGCTCCTCCTCGCCCCCCTGCCCCAGAGCCCCGCCTAGTACAATCACGTAAGCTCCTGCCCCCAGGTATTCAAACTGAGTCCCCAGGTTTTCCACTTTCCCCTACTCAGGTCCTGGGTCTCCAGCTCTCACCCCACCTCCTGCTCATGCACCCCCCCAGGCCCCACCCCCACGATGCCCCGCCCCTCCGCAGGTCCTGTGGCGTGGAGAGGTGTTGCAGCCTAAACCGCAGGACAAGGCGACCCAGTGTGTGCAAAACCTGAATGAGCGCATTCTGCGGGATGCCAGGGTCCACATCAGCCTCCTGCCCCTGGGCGACGGCCTCACCTTAGCCTTCAAGATCTAGGGCTGGCCCCTAGCGAGTGGCCTCAAGGGAGAGGCCCTGGGACCCCCAGCCATTGACACCGAGTTTTAAATCTGACAATAAAGTGAGGCTTGGGACACGACGATCTTGATCTTCTGAGCCTCCGTATGTGCTGAAGTGGGGTAGGGAGTGAAGGCCCCGCACTGGCTACATCTTCAACAAAAGGGAGCCTTGAGGCCACAGATGTTCATCCCCTCCCTGGCACACTCCTGAGGACCCTCTGGCACCAGGGCTGTAGCCTGACCATAGGAGCTTCCAGCTGACTGGAAGCAGGATATCAAAAGTTTTAATTGGGGCTTCCCTGGTGGCGCAGTGGTTGAGAGTCCGCCTGCCAATGCGGGGGACACAGGTTCGTGCCCCGGTCCAGGAAGGTCCCACATGCCGCGGAGCGGCTGGGCCTGTGAGCCGTGGCCGCTGAGCCTGCGCGTCCGGAGCCTGTGCTCCGCAACAGGAGAGGCCACAACAGTGAGAGGCCCGCGTACCGCCAAAAAAAAAAAAAAAGTTTTAACTGACCTGCCCACCTGCAGTTGGTCAGAAACCCCAGCTCCTTGTGGAGATTTGCCTCCACAGGATCTGAGGGCTGGAAACCTGGTAGAGCCCCTGTGGTCTCTGACACCTCTTCCTAAGAGGGGCAAATGAATGAAGTTCCTGTTCACTGCAGCTGGAACCGGTGGAGACCAATCTGGGATCTGATGGCAGGAAAAGGGCCTTGCTCCGTTAAGTGTTGTAGGTTATGCCAATTCTGCTGGCCGTTTGCCCATGTTGTCACAGAACTGTCAGCTTGGCCTCACCTCTGCAGTGTAGGGCCTGGTCAACATCACCTGAGACCAGGCCACTTGACTTAGACCTGAGGACCTCAAGGTTGACTGGAGTATGTATCCTCTCCTCCCCATGAAGTCCTTGAAGAACATGAGACACTGAGTGGGATCACTGGCCAGAGGTGTGAAGCAGACAGGCCAATAGGTAGGAGGCAATTTTTAACAAGTTCCCCAGAGGAAGATGAAGAGAAAGTTAAGCTTTCCAACACAAACATCTATAAACCTATGAGCCAAGGTGGAGAGGGAACCAGGTGCTTCACTCTGTGGTTTAAACCTCCACAATCCATAGGAAGATCTTATCTCCACACCACAAATGAAGACCAGGCTCAGATATGAAGTGTCCTTTCCACCAACACTGCCTCAGGCCTCAGGCAGTAATGGCATCAGCCTAGAATTAGGTTTTGCCACCATCTGTTAGGCCTGGGTGGTGGAACTGAACCTGGAGGCTGCTGATTAATAAATTAATCATCTATTAATTTCTAACATATCAAGGCCACAGGAGCCCCATGAACCCACAGCTGGCAACTTTCATAACCCTACAGTATTTGGGATATATACTTGCATTTCAGACAACCCTCAGGAACCTAGCTGTAAACTATCCTCTCTCCCACTTATAAAAGTATATAAGAATCACATGGGTGAATAGGTCCATTTTACTCTTAAGTATCCTGAAAACACAAGAGCCACTTTCATACCTAGCTTGCAGACACGCTTTCCTGTTTTTCTTCTTACCTAGCAATAGGTCCTGCCTGATTCAAACAAACTGGTTCAAATTCCAACTTACTGCCATTAAGTTATGTGTCTTATTCAATAGGCAATTCCAGCCAGTCCCTTAGGACAAACAGTGAGATCAGAAGGGGCCTTTGTGCCCCCCATTCCACCTGTATGGAAAGCTTGTTTGGGCTGCTAATCTCTCATCAGATTCTTCTTGACCTGGAAATTTTCAGCATGTATCACTTTTGGGGTAATGAGTAAGTACTACATTTTCTTATCTGTTCTCTCTGACTTCAAACTATACCACAGATCTAGTATTAAGAATTTGTTCAACAAAACCCTTCTCTAACCTTTGATGGTATCTTTCTAACACTTCTCCCATCAAAATTCCTCTTTCCTACTTTTCCAACCAGAATCATCTATTAATTTCTATCATTCAGCTCAAGTCCAGATTTAGGCCAATGGCCACATAGCCTGAAGGCACTCTCGTCACAAACTTAGGCCCAAGCTTCTCAGTGCCTGCCTGAAAAGAAACGAGTAACGGCCTCTCACTGGGGCCCATACACTTACATTCTACAGACCCTCTGGGTACTGACACTGTCTGTCTACGCCTTACTCCCTTTCCCTACACCTCGTCCCATCCCACCTAACTAGGGCCTGGATCATTTCCAAAGCAATAACCCAAAGGGTTGTGGTGGGTGTATACAACCTTCAGCACCATCCCTTCATTTCTCTTTTTTCATCACTTGCTAACTCTTCCTGGAGTTCACGATGATCCAATGTAATTTTTCAAATTTACAAACTGAAGATATGAAGGCATGTATCTTCTTACTTTATTGCAGTCTAAAAATCTCATGGAGTTACTCTCGGGTCAGAGGACTCTGTGGCACAGATTCATGAAAAGAGCAAAATAAATGCTCACTGGAAAAATAAAGTACTAGCTAGAAACAAGGAAGATTTGACCCTAGCTGCCAAGTTTTTAACTCTGCAAATACTTAAGAGTCATTAATTACGTATACTTGTTTTATTCATAACTTGTAATGTTCTGGGATACTAAAAGTAATTCTAATGATGGTTGAAATTAACAAAAAATTTTAACCTCATCTTAAAACATCCACTGATCCATCTCATTCAATGGCAATATTCAATGTTAAAAGAAACATAAAAACAAACATGCACACAATTGCACAGTTTTCATAAAGGTCTATTTCATTATTGGTGGGTAGGACATTTAACAGTTAAATACATTTAAATAATGTATAGGTGACTGCACGACTGCAGCATTGGTAACTAGATAGATAACCAATTCAACTAGAAACCAGCTAACAAGTAACTGCCTAAATATTTAAAATACAGCTCTTGTTTAGATCATCCTTTGTTTTGATCACCTTCTTGGGTGGGGGTGGGGGGGAAGCCTGCTGGTCACACTGGAAATATATTAAGGCCAAATCTTCTGATATCCATTCCCAGAGGTTTCTTTCAGCTGGATTAAGCCTCCAGCTCCAGGGCAAGCCCAAGTTTGTGGCCTCCAGCATTAATGCTCTTCCCATCTACCAGAGCAGACAGTGTAAGCTTCACACCTGTAAACAAAAGCAGACAACTATCATGTGCCTGAAACACCTCATGGGAGTCTGCAGTCACGCCACAACCTGTCACTTTTCCTCAGCTTGTCAGATGACCTACTAGTGCCAGCCACCAGAGGGCGCTGGGGAGTATCTGAGACACCAGACAATTCATTTGCACATCCACAGTAAAGAAGGCATCAAGTCCCAGAGCATAAGAACGTTCATAATAAAGCTCAAACAGCTCTGGAAAATACAATCATGTTCAATACACTATCCAGACTAAAAGACAACCATAATTGGATCCTGGAAAGGAAAAGCTACAATTAAGAGACACTTTTGGGACAAGTGCAGAAATCCAAATATATACTATATATTAAGTATTATTTCAAAATGTTAATTCCCTTAGCTGTGAAAACAGTATTATAGTTATGATGTCTTTAAAATGATGCAGTTAAAAATGTCTTACTCATGATATGTATGCTAGGGCTGATGTGCCTATGTGTTTGGAAAACATATTTAAATAATTCATAAGGATATGTGGGGAAAAAAGAAAAGAAGGATTATGTATAGAGACATGGAGAGATAAAACAAACAAAATAAATGTTAGTAATTGGTCAACGTGGGGAAGGTATGAGTGTTCGTGGTACCATTCTTTTCTTTAGGTTTCAAAACAGTCAAAGTCTGGGGAAAAAGTTCCAAGTGCTTTAGAACCTTGCTCTTCAACTGGTGGTTCAAGAACCAGCAACACTGGCATCACCTAAGAGCTTGTTAGAAAGTCAGAACCCCTCGCCCCAGGCCTATGTATTTTAATAAGATTCCCAAGGTGATTCATGCACACACTGGTATTTGAGAATACTGCTCCAGAAAACACAGCAAGGCTCAAAATACTATGTAAAGTAAATGAGACTACAGAGACCAAACAACCAAAGCAATGAGTGAACTATGATTGGAGAAATAAAAATTACTACAAGACATTTCAGGTACAAGTGAGGAAAGTAAATAGATAATGGATATTAAGTAATAATATGGAATCACTGTTAACTTTCTCAGGTGTGGTAACAGTATTGTGGTTATGCAGGAGAATGTTCTTATTCTGAGGAGATGCATGCTGAAGCATTTAGGGAAATGTCATGATAGCTGCAACTTCCAAACAGCCCAGCATAAAAAAAAAAAAAGGAAAGGAATAAAAAACTGTGGCAAAAGGTAAACGTGTTCACTGTACTTTCTGTCAATTCTTCTGTATGCTTGAAAGGTTTGCAAAAGAAGAAGCTGAATCTTGAGAAAGAAAAACGAGTTGGAGGAATCAGACTCCCTGACTTCAAACTATACCACAAAGCTACAGTAATCAAGACAGTATGGTACTGGCACAAAAACAGAAATATAGATCAATGGTACAGGATAGAATGCCCAAAGATAAACCCATGCACATATTGACACCTAATTTACGACAAAGGAGGCAAGAACATATAGTGGAGAAAAGACAGCCTCTTCAATAAGTGGGGCTGGGAAAACTGGACCAGCTACATGTAAAAGAATGAAGTTATAACACCACCTAATACCATACACAAAAATAAACTCCAAATGGATTAAAGACTTGAATGTAAGACCAGACACTATAAAACTTTTAGAGGAAAAACACTCTTTGACATAAATCACAGCAAGATCTTTTTTGACCCACCTCCTAGAGTAACAGAAATAAAAACAAAAAGAAACAAATGGGACTTAATTAAACTTTTTGCACAGCAAAGGAAACCATAAACAAGACAAAAAGACAACCCTCAGAATGGGAGAAAATATCTGCAATTGAAACAACAAAGGATTAACCTCAAAATATACAAACAGCTCATGGAGCTTAATATCAAAAAAACAAACAATCCAGTTAAAAAATGAGCAGAAGAGGGCTTCACTGGTGGCACAGTGGTTGAGAGTCCACCTGCCGATGCAGGGGACATGTGTTCGTGCCCCGGTCCGGGAAGACCCCACATGCTGCGGAGTGGCCGGGCCCGTGAGCCATGGCCGCTGAGCCTGTGCTCCGTAATGGGAGAGGCCACAGCAGTGAGAGGCCCACGTACGGCACAAAAAAAAAAAAAAAATGAGCAGAAGACCTAAATAGACATTTCACCAAGGAAGACATACAGATGGCCAAGAGGCACATGAAAAGATGCTCAACACCACTAATTATTAGAGAAATGCAAATCAAAACTGCAATGAGGTATCACCTCACACTGGTCAGAATGGCCATTATCAAAAGCTAGAAACAATCAATGCTGGAAAGGGTGTGGTGAAAAGGGAACCCTCTTGCACTGCTGGTGGGAATGTAAATTGATACAACCACTATGGAGGACAGTATGGAGGTTCCTTAAAAAACTAAAAATAGAACTACCATATGACCCAGCAATCCCACTACTGGGCGTATACCCTGAGAAAACCAGACACATGAACCCCAATGTTCACTGCAAGCACCATTTACAATAGGCAGGACACAGAACCAACCTAGAAGTCCATCGACAGATGAATGGATGAAGAAGATGTGGCACATATATACAATGGAATATTACTCAGTCATAAAAAGAAACGAAATTGAGTTACTTGCAGTGTGGTGGATGGACCTAGAGTCTGTCATACAGAGTGAAGTAAGTCAGAAAGAGAAAACCACCATATGCTAAAGCATACATACGGAATCTTAAAAAAAAAAGAAAAAATGGTACTGATGAACCTGGTTGCAAGGCAGGAATAAAGAGGTAGACATTAAGAGAATGGAACTGATGATATGGGGTGGGAGGGCAAAGCTGGGACGAAGTGAGAGAAGTTTCAACATATGTACACTACCAAATGTAAAACAGTTGGCTGGTGGGAAGCAGCAGCATAGCACAGGGAGATCAGCTCGGTGCTTTGCAATGACCTAGAGGGGTGGGATAGGAAGGATGGAAGGGAGGCTCAAGAGGGAGGGGATATGGGGATATACGTATGCATATGGCTGATTTGCTTTGTTGTACAACAGAAACTAACATGGTATTATGAAGAAATTATACTCCAAGAAAGATCTTAAAAAAAAATCTAACAGTCTGTTTTCCAAAGTGGCTGTAATATTTTATGTGCATGCCAGCACTGTATGAGGGCTCTAACTTCTCCTTATCTTCATCTACACTTGCTATTTTCTACTGATTTATTATATCCATTCTAGTGGGTAGAAGTGGTATTTCATTGTGGTTTTAATTTACACTTACTTAATGACTAATGACACTGAGCACCTTTTCCTGTGCTAATTAGCTATTTGTATGTCTTCATATAAATATATTTGCAAGTCTTTTGCCATTTTTTGATTGGGTTGTTTGTCATATTTATTAATGAGTTGTAAGAGTTCTTTCTTTACATGTTATGGGTACAAGTCCTTTGTATGATTTGCAAACATTTTTCTCAGTCTATGGTATGTCTTTTCATCCTCTTAATACTGCCTTTTGAAGCATAAACTCAAAAGTTTCCACTTAAAAAATAAATAAATAAAAAGAAGCTGAGAAATGAAACTAATTTTGAAACCACTATCAAAACAATCCTTAATACTTACCAGGCCTCAGAGTCTGAGTGTAGCCCACTCCAATTAAACTAGAATTGTTGACCTTTGCCTAAGATAAAAACAAACATAAGACAAATTTTTGAATGGAGAGACAAAGCCCCTGGGTGTTTCCCTATCATACAATTATGACACACTTTTCCACAAGAGTTAATAAAATTTAATACTGTATTAAGCTAAGCAAAAACTAGGTGCCACTTAATCCTCATCCACTAAATTCGAATTGTCAGCAGGACACAAAACTCTTGCAATCTTTTGGGATGTGTCCACAGACCCCAAACTGTCCATATAGCACAAAAGCCTAAGCACTCTCATTAAAACTGTCCTTGTTGAGTCTAATCTAGCACATAAAACCATACCAGAATGTGCGTAATGGAGTTCACCAGGCTAACTACATGACATTGACACACACACCACCCTCAAAGTATGGCATGTGTATGTATAGTTTAAATTTGTGACTACGACACTACTTTCAGGGGTATTCCTAAAGAATCTAAACCATGCATGTTCTAAATCTCCAAATGACAAGCACTTCCTCTGAAGAAAGAGACTGACTACAACACCTTCACCTCACTTTCTCACACCTCTCATTAATGCCCTTGAGTCTTGGCTGTATATAACTAGACTGTGCTTAAGAAGGCGTTCCAAAGGGGCATTTACCAATCCAGACCCCTTCCCTCCTTGTACAATTCTACTATTTTAGGATTTTAGTCACAGACTTTCAAGAGCTGGAAGGAATCCTGGAGAGCAAGACATGGTTAGGAGAAGCTTCAAGCTCCATTCTCTCCCACTACTGACATCACTTAAGCCATACCAGAGGCCTAAGGCTGTAAATGGGGGCATCTCACCCTGCTCTCCATGGTCTAGGTTGCCTAGTCAGATAACTTTGCTCTTCAGCATTTTGAGTGCTATGGTAATAAAAAGGTAACAAACAGCCTCTGGGATCAAAACAGACTTGGGGGCTTCCCTGGTGGCGCAGTGGTTGAGAGTCTGCCTGCCGATGCGGGGGAAATGGGATCGTGCCCCGGTCCAGGAAGATCCCACATGCCGCGCAGCAGCTGGGCCCGTGAGCCATGGCTGCTGAGCCTCCGCGTCCAGAGCCTGTGCTCCGCAACGGGAGAGGCCAAAACAGTGAGAGGCCCGCGTACCGCAAAAAAAAAAAAAAACAAAAAAAACACACTTGGTAGTGATTTGATGTCTACACTCTTTTGTAATGTATATCAAAACAGCCCAATTGAGAGAGAAATGATCCAACAATACAGGCAAAAGTCACAGAAACAAAACTTGTATTCACTTGGCACTACAGCCAAGTCTTCATGAGCCACCAATGACCATGTGAGTTATTTGTCTAAGGAAGAAATGCCCCACTAGTAACCATCTTTTGCCAAACAAATTAAGAGCCCCAAACAATAAAATAGCTCCTACTATTTTAGGAGTCAACCATGAAACTAATGGAGCATTATGCAGTGCTTCAGGGGTGATGCTTGATTAGGGTAACAGCAGCACTACTTAGATGGACCATGCTAAATATTCAATAGTTTTCCAAACTAATCCCTAGAAGTCAGTGGCACACAGGTCCCAAGCTGCCTTCCCATTTTAGACTGTGAGAGAGCTGCATCTTCTGCTGGCATTAAACCTGTGATGGTGCCATAGACATATATTTGAAGAGAATAGCAATGTAGCTACCACAGCACAGTGTGCTGTGTGAATCCTGAGGATTTTACTGCTACAGTGTAGTCAGAAATAGAGAAGGGAAAAATAAATGAATCACTGCCTTGCCAATAGGAAAAGCATTCCGGGTGTTTCTCATTCTCTCTCATTACAACTCTGCTAAGCTAAAACAAGAATGGGGCTAAAACTTAACTGCCTAAATTATCAAAACATATCATCCTCAGGAATGAAGATGACTTTATGTAACAGAAATAACTCTCACGGAAGGTTTAACTCTTTCATTCTAGTACATACAGTGCCTGACCTGTAAGCAACTAACACACATGAAGAGCTGCTTATCTGCCTGAAACTGGAGCCAGCGCTCTATACCCTTAGACACTGTACTCCCTCCTACCACAATCCACTATGACTGAAGGAAGAAATAGCAGAAAGAGTATAAGGACAGGACTAGGGTGGCCATGCAACCCAACCAACCCACGATAGAGGGGAGGGAGTTCCTGGGATGCAGGACTTTCAGTGCTAAAGTTGGGATAGTCCCAGGCAAAGCAGGATGAGCTACCTAGTCACCCTAGAGAGAAGGGAAATCAAAAGACATGCAAGTCCAGTCCTGGCCCTACCTCTCTTTCCTTCCTTCCCTAGCTGTGGTCTAAGTCATTCCTCTCTCCAAGATTTGGTTTCTTCACTTGCAAAACAGCATGTGTACCACTGGCTGCTCAGATCAAATCTGAAGATATTTTGTAAACCATTAAAGACAAACACAAAGTAACAAAGTACTATTACCTTCCAACCAGAATGAGAACTGCCCAGGGCCCAAAACAATGGCTTCCCTGGGCTTGGACAGGCTTGGCCCTCACAGTTATTATCTACACTACTTCAGCAGCTTTTGAAGTTAATTTAAACAAACTCCTATGGCCTGGATAGCAAACATCTCTGTCTCAACCAAAAAAAGCAGCATTCCTTAGTTCTAGTCCCAATCTGTGTGTAAACTGGGAATTGTGTGAACCACAGTTCAAATTTTCAACACAATCCATTATACCCAAAGATTAAGTCCCCCAACCAAAATCCCATTCTAAGCCCACAGCAATACTCACAGAAATGGAAGCAGTGGGATCCAACTGATATTTAGCTGCAATGCCAAAGCGAGTACAGTTGGTTCCTGATGTCCAAGCAAGGTTTACTGAAGTGTCAAGGTCTTCACATACTTTCTGATAAATTGATCCTCCAAATTCTGTCCCATCATTTCTATAAGATATTTTAAATTAGTCAACCTAGACTAGACAATGTAATAATGTCTAAGGCACAAGGCTGATACTGTAGCATTACATTTAAATAAAAGCAATTGCTTACATGGGTCTCTAGTGTTCCACTAAAAACTTTAGTTTTAAAAGGTCTTTTTGGGGCTTCCCTGGTGGCACAGTGGTTAAGAATCCATCTGCCAATGCAAGGGACATGGGTTCGAGCCCTGGTCCAGGAAGACCCCACATGCTGCGGAGCAACCAAGCCCATACGCCACAACTACTGAGCCTGCGCTCTAGAGCCCACACACCTAGAGCCTGTGCGCCGCAAAATGAGAAGCCACCGCGATGAGAAGCTCGCGCGCTGAAATGAAGAGCAGCCCCCGCTCACCGCAATTAGAGAAAGCCCGCGCACAGCAACGAAGACCCAACACAGCCAAAACTAAATAAATAAAAAAAAATTTTTTAATGTCATCAAAGGACTTTTCCCAACTTATGTCCAAAAACAGGGATTGGTCAAATCAATCATGGTATATCTATCCAAATTATCATGCACCCACTAACCATCACTAAGAATACATAATGCTATAGGAAAATGATCAAAATGTATTAAGGTGGGGGAGGTTATAAAACAGCCTTTTTGGTATGTATTTTATATACACACATATAAAAAGATGAAACACCAAAGCATTAACAATTAACAAAAATTATACGTCTAGACGGTGGGATTATGAAACATTTTTGTTTTCTTCTTTGTACTTCTGTTATATACCAATGCATCATTTTTATAAGGGAAAAAATTCTTTTTAAGTCCTTTCTACATATACATTTAATTTGGGTTAGGTAAAAACTCTATACATTTTAGGTAATCCTATCAAATGAGCACCTCACACATCAGACAATGAAGTCAAATGAATGCACATAGAGTTTGGCAATGTCTTAGCCTTTTTTTTTTTTTGGCCATACCATGCAGCTTGTGGAATCTCAGTTCTCTGACCGGGGACTGAACACAGGCCACGGCAGTGAAAGCTCCAAATCCTAACCACTAGACCACCAAGCAACTCCCATCTTAGCCTCTTCTAAAAATCCAAAGCACATCAAGCCTCATGTGAAATGAACATTTACTCTCTCAGCACCAAAACTCAGACTAATGGTTTTTATTGTACACTTCTGAAGGGCATTCTAGAAATGCCCAAGGATGATCTTTTTATGTTAAGAGAACTCCTTTAGGTTGTACTTAGATTCACAGGAGATGACAGGAGACATCAATACCACTTTGAGGTCCTACATCATAATATCCCACAAAAGAAATACTCACACATTAGTGTGTAGCTGGAAGTCCCCAGTCCTGTAGCCCACTGCAAAGTTATTTCTTGTCAGCTTTGATTTGGCACTGTCAAAGGTCATCTGGTACCCAGCAAGCCAGCCCTCATAACCAAAGACTGCTGAACCGTGGATTGCAGGTCTAGCAAAATCAAAGTCAACATCACAACCAAGGTTTATACATTCCCTCTTGTAAGAAGACTTGATTTTACCACTTTTCTTTCTGGAAAAAGAACAAACTGTCTTAAAACAGATGTCAGTGGGAAAGATTTACAGACATAACTTCTGCATAGAGGGCACAAAACAGATTTAAATGAACCTCACTGTAACTGGGGAGTACAGGCACACTTCATTGTTTTACTGCAGTTCACTTTACTGTGTTTCCCTCCCCCCGCACCTGTTTGTAGCAGGGTTTGTAGCAATTGAGGGTTTGCAGCAATCCTGAACCAAGCAAATCTGTTTGGGTGTTTTTTTTCCAACAGCATTTGTTCACTTTGTGTTGCTGTTGTCACATTTTGGTAGTTCTCATAATATTTCAAACTTTATTATTATTATTATATTTGTTACAGTGACCTGTGGTCACTGATCTTCTGATGTTACTACTACGACTTGGTGAAGGCTCAGATGATCGTTGGCATTTTTTAGAAATAAAGTATTTTTTAATTAAGGTATGTACATTGTTTTTTTCCCCCCAACATAATGCTACTGCATACTTGACAACAGTATAGTGTAAACATAACTTTTATATGCACTGGGAAACCAAAAAATCCATATGACTCGCTTTTTTACAATATTCACTTTATTGCAGTGGTTTGGAACCAAACCTGCAATATCTCCAAGGTATGCCTGTATAAGAGATAGCAAGATAATCATAAGAGGTAAAAAAAATATATGGCTCAATGCTAAAAGACAGGCACAAGGGGCGACTGGATCACCACCAACATAGGAAGACTGCTTTGCAGAACTGGTTATCAGTCACAAAAGCCTATAAAAAACATGTTAGTGTCACAATAAGAGGCAAATATTTGAAGGCAAGTCAACAACCATACTGCTTATGTTCCAAAGGCAGAAACAGAAATTCACCACAAGGCACCTGAATGTGCACCTTTCTTAAACATACCAAAGAAGAATGCTTTTAAATTTAAAGCAGATAAAAATGCCCATGCTTACCCCGTGTTTGGTGAAAAGGTGGTATCAAATGTCAGTTTCAAACCTTGACAAATCTATTTCGAGAGAAAAAGGATTTGTTTTCAGCTTTATTTCTTTTTTGAAATACAAAAATAAAATAATTAATACTAAAGCACATTTTCAAATGTTACCTGGTCTTCAATAGCGATTTCTGTTCCCAGAGTATTATCAGTGTTCCACTTTTCTGTGAAAGTCAGACCATACTCACACCATTTATATTTGGTCTCCAAGGTCCCGGTAACTTTACCAGTGTCTGTATTAGATGAACCAGATGTTGAGAATTCCTAAGAAGACAAGACAAGCTTCAAGAACTTTCTCGTAAGCCTAGAAGAATCCACTTCCTAATTTACACAAACACACACACACACACACACAAAACCCCACTGAAACACAATAATTTCACTAATCCTCTTTTTTCTAGCTTCCCAAACACTCCTACCCTCTGCTACTGAGTATATACAAGAGTGACAAATTAGCCTGTAAGTTACTCACTACATCTTACTACTGCTGACATTTCCAACCAATGGATCAAAAGTTACTTGTATCTGATTCTCAAGTGAACAACAAACTATACAACTTTTAAGGAAACTTCTGCTAAGGTGATTTTATTTGGGATTCAAAAAAAATCAGTGGGGGAGGATGGATGTTTTAGTACTGCTTCCAATCTGCCTGATATTGAATGAGACACTAAAAAGGTCAGTATGGCTAATCACAGACCCCCTTCATTAAAATCTGAGTTTATACACAATTTACTATGAAATGGTTCCTGAAAATCCTTAAAAGGAAAGCACCCCACTGTAAGAATCTATGCCACAAACAAAAGATTTTTTTTTTTTTTAATTCTTTGGTAACCTCAATATTCTGTTTCTGACATAAAGAGTCTTCATCAGGTTTAATGCCTTTCCAACCATCTTTACATTCTCATTAAAAAAAAAAACGGGGAGGGAAATTATAGGAGATTTACTCTATAACTGGTTTATATCATGCATAATATAAACTATACTCTGTACAACAGATGATATTAGTAGAAAAAACAACCTATGCAGTGATCAATTTGAAGTGTACTATATAATCTTATGTTTGTAGCAAATATAAATAACTTGCCAATCCCTAATTGCACACCAACTGAAAAGGAAGGCATAATATGGAGAGGGCTTATCTGAAATTCAAAATCTGCTACAGATAATCCAGAAATCTAACCTTTCAGAGCTTGGTATACAGGCAAGCAACTGAAATCTTCCAAAATAAAATGTTAAAAATGCCCTTTGAGGGTTCTGATCTGACTCTTAATGATGGTTATACTCTTAAGGCCATTGGAAAGCCAAGTTTAAAGATGGCTGATCTGAACTAATAAAGAAAAGCCTTCGACCTGAAATTGTGATACCTGCAGAATGAGGAAATACCAAAAACTCTATCAAAAGGAGAAAAGGCCAATCATCCTTTACTTAGAAAACAGATCATTTGTGTAACTATCGCTCTGCCGTGAAACAGACTCAATTCTTTAGGTCTTATATACAATCTCCTGAAATTAGATGCTTTCAGTAACAGAAATTTCAAGTCAAAGCTTGGCACTCATGCCCATACTAAAAAGCACCAAATTGTGTTAGGGAAGAACACTGGATATGAAATTAGGAGTCCTGACATCCAGTTCTGGCTGGCATTTACTAAATGAGTAACACTGAAGAAGACACTTTCCTGGGTCTCAGTTACCTCAACTGTAATAACAAAACCTACTTCTGGAGGATTAAACTGGACGAAGACTTTGAAAGCTTTGCACATTTTCACATGCTCTACACAACAGGAATGCATTACTAAAACAATATAATATATATGGAGCCTGTTCTAACAGATACTTGAAATGCAAATGTGTACGAATAGCTATTTTTAGTCCTGAGTGACAATGATTAATGATTCTTGAGGCCCCACCCACTGCCACCCATCAGCCCACAGACTGAGCCAGCTTATATACACGCCAAGTACATGCCAAGGAGTCCTCAAGACACAAAACCAAGAAGACCACACTGTAATCTGGGACCAGAATTGGGTCAGATGATACCACTGGTGGAGCTTATACCCTCCCTCTCACTCCTCACCAAGACATTTAGGCTTCTGCCTTCTGCAGTGGCCCAGACATCTTTGCAGTTCAGGTGAGAAATGAGACTATTTGGGGCCAGGGACATATTACAAGATCAGTACCATGTTTTTGAATTACATACATTAAATGTATATTAAAACATACTATATTTAATCAAGCTCTTATATATCCTTCATGTTTTTAAGCTTAATTTTATAAAATTCCTATCCACAATAAGCCTTTCCTTTCCAACAAAGATACTGATTTATCAAACAATCTAGTACTAGATAGTGCTCTGACTGTTCCCTAATTTAAAGTTTATTTTGTCTCTCCAGCCAGCAAGCAAGCTTTTTAAACACAAGAATTGAGTCTTCTACTTTTACAAGGCCTTTTGTGTTTCAGCAAATACACAGCAAGTGGTTTATAAGGGGCAATAGGTTAGAGAGGGAACACAAAACAAACACTAAGTCACTGCTCTGTAACCTGTTACCTTGAGCAAGTAAGTCACTCAACCACACTAAATACTCAGGCTTCCTTTCAGACCAAAGAAACCAAAAAACAGATGCGACCAATATAAAACCCAAGAAATCCAAGTCTAGGCATTGAGAAACTACAAAATGATTAATTTAAATAAATACCAGTTATATGCACTAAGGGAGTTAACAACTGTAGAAAGAATTTATCAAAATAACCAATAATATTCAATATGCACACACTATACCCATCCCCAAAACAATCCCCAAACAAAAACTTTCAGAAGAAAAAAATTACACAAAATTAAATTTTACTTTACTCTTTGAGGGAGTTTGTTAGGCAGGATCAAGACATCCAAATATCAAAATAGTAACCTCTTTAAAAATACTCAAATTTAGGACTCTCTAAATTCACAAAATACAAGTGGAAATCTTCCCCAAGGCAGGCTGCTAGAATATGACCATTACATAAACGATTAGTACACTCAAATTAAGTTACTGAATATTTTTATGCCCAGAACTCTTAATGTTTTCCACAGGCATTAAAAGAAGGGGTTACAAAAAAGTATAACATGTTCCCTGCCTTTAAGCTTGCAACCTTACTGAGTAAACAGAATCCCACATGACCAGTGTCTTTCCTGAGTTCCTTGTGCATACAAAGTAATATGGCAAAAGACCACATGAAAATCAGAAATCACTTCCAAAGCCAAAATAATCAAGATAAAATTCCCTTATCTTTTGCCCCTTCTTTAAGATAAAACGGGTAGACATCTTTCAGTTATGACTATCTTACGGGTTGAAAAATTGTATAAAGGCTCATCAAAACTTATCAAATACCTAACACTCACCACGCCACTGCATGACTTTGTTTTCACATCCAGTTTCACCAACCCAAAACCTTCAAGTAGAGAGCAAAAAAGAACAAAATGATCTTTTAGTATAAAAGATGCATACCAACAGCTGACTCTACATTTAAAAAAACAGAAACCAGAAAGATTTCACATATTCAGAGGGGGATAAAAATGTGTGTTGATATACAATATTTAAATGAAAACAAATTAAATTATTCTATGTAAACTAACATGTAAAGGACAGAACATCTCTATGAAGCTTTCCTAGTATGCTGGTGTGTATTTGGCACCCACCCTCAAAAGCAGCTTCCAAATCATCTTAACAAAACATTTATTAAAACATGCTTTTCAAACCTAAACATCAGATCAGAAAATCAATTCAACTTAAAGATCAGAATAGTCAATAGTTTATTATGATACAGGCATTTAGAACATTTATCTCAAAGGCATACCTCGCTTTGGAATTAATAATCCGAACAACTGGGGAAATAATCTAAAGGATAGGGAGGGTGGGGTGTGGAACAAACTCTTTAACAAAACCCAAATTTATTTGCAGAAACCCATAACCCTTTATGAGTCACCACCATAAAAGCAAAAACAGTAAAACATCGTAATTCTAGTCAACCAAGGCCTAAACTATATCCGAAGGAAATGAAAGCACAATTGTTTTTTTTTCTTAAAGATAAATTCCCTGAACTTAAGTATGAAAAAAAGGAGGAAATTGGGATGGAGGGAGGAAATGTGGGATGGAGGGAAATGTGGATTGTTACAGCACTCTTTTAAAAGAAACGTTATCTTAAATGTAGCTAACAGAAGAATTACTGCAGCAAGATATTTACAATCTGAAGAAATTACTAATTCACTAAGCAATCCAAACACACATTTTCACTTCAGATCTAAAATTTTTAAAACAGTTCTTACCAAATCCTTTGTTGAATATATCTCTGGCAGCTTTGCCAAGGTCAGCATATGATGGAGGAATACACATTGCTGGTGGGAAGAAACATTCCAGTGTTAACGTCCCTGTTCTCCCACAGTCTGTCTAAGAACTACCTAATGACCCACTGCTACCTTTAAATCCAAGCAGTCCAACTTAGTTTTGATACCCCTAGAATCTACAATAACACTGTAGTCTAGTATGATCCATGAAGGAGGTATCAGCACCAAAGGCTTATTTCTAAAATAGATAATCACAGTTAAGTGTTTATACAAACTTGGGAAATTCCCTCCAAAATATATAAAAATACTTTCTATTCCTAAATTTACACAGTGCCTGTAGCCTCACTTCCTAGGATGAGACTAGTACAAAGAATCAAACACATACACACGTATATATCTGTACATACAGATATACCTGCCAAAATTCACTAGAATGTGCTGATTTAACCAAATGAGATAAGATTTAAAACTAAGACAAGTCCCTCTCCCCCCTATTCAACCTTTAGTATCCTCACGGAGATCAAAACCAATATTCCGAAGTAGAAAAAGAAAGATAAGTCATACTAATGAAACTTAAATATTGAAACATAAAAAAAAAATACAGCCATTTATGTTTCACTCAAGCGCCTACATCAACTAAATATCAAATGCACTTTAAACATACTAGTATGACACTCAAGTCCTCGGCCCACGCTGTGAGGCTTAAGGGCAAGCAATTTGAGGTCTTTACACCAGCTCATTCATCCTACATAGCACGTCCACGCCCTTAAGAGCACATGTAATGAATGACCTTGCGCCCTCACACGGGGGGTTACTACTTCCTCTAAAAACGTGACCGATCCAATCCTGCAAAAGCTGAACCCGATAATTAATAACTTTCTGCTTCTCAGTTCGTCAAAGCTGAACGTGAATGCGTCCACAGACCAGCTCCCCAGGCCTAGTCAGTCCCCCTATCCGAAATCCAACAACCCAGCCCCTCCTCCGCAAAGCCAGGGAAGTCAGACGGTAGAGTGGCTACCGAAAGGGGCGAACTTCCAAGCCCTTGGAGACAGAGGGGGAAAGAAGCTGCGGTTTTCTGGTCGGGAGGCTTCGGCTGCCCAGACACCGCCGCCCCATCCCGCAGAGATCGCTCTACTTACGCCGCAGGCAGGTCTGTCCGGAGGTCGCCATGGCGAGGCCGCGAGGAGAGGTGATCTGAGGGAGGGACAAGAAGTGCGGTCAGCGGGGCTCAGAGGCGAATCAAGGGGCCAGAAGGGGGTCTCAGACAGAGGGGAGAGGGGCCGCAGGGCAGCGCGGCCATCTTAGGGAGTCGGGGCCGACCCCGAGTCCGGCTCAGGCGTCCTGCTTGGCCGCCGGGGCCTAGGCCCCAAGGTCCGAGTGAGGCGGGCGCGGCGGTACCTGGTGGTCTCCTGGGGGGAGGGGGAGGCACCGCTGCCGCTCCGCTAGCAGCTGAAGCCGCTCGGCTAGCTCTGCGTCCCGCTGCAGCTGCCGCGGCTGGAGGGCGAAGTGAAGGAGACACCGGTCCGCCCGCCGCAACCCTGTCCTCCCTCCGCCAGGACCCTGCCGCTGCCCCTGGGGCTGCCCACCGCGCCTGTCCCCGCAGCGCCGCCCGCTGCTCACTCCAACCTGCTCCGAAGCGGCCACGTGTTCCAAGAGCACCGGTGCTCACGGGGTGAGCTCCCTCGGTCCCTCGGCAGGGGCAGGAAAAGCAGAAGCTGCCGGACCTCAAGTCAGGCAGCTACGAGGGCAGCCCCTGAGGCGAGGGGGCGGGGAACGGCGGAGGCAGCGTGGAGGGGAACGCGTGGGCGAGGGATGGGGCAGAGGCCCCGCGCGCGCTCGTCACGGGCGGGGCGGGGCTTCAGGCGCGTGCCTGCGCGGGGCTCGGCGCGACTGGGCGCGACTGGGCGCGCTACCGCGCACCCCGGGTCAAGTACTTCTCTCCAACTCCCTTCGGAGAGTTTCGCACACCCTGCAGAGTCAATCCCCAGTCTAGGAGGGAGTCAGCTGAGCGTTACCCCTTCTACACTGAGCTAGTGCAGCGTGCGCTTCTGAAAGACTGTCTCTCTCTCTCCTGGCCCAGGGAGAAACGGGTGGGGCGCAGAGACGCAGCTCCCGCCCCTTGCGCACTCCCTCCTTCGTCCGCCTCCCACCACCGTGTAATCGCCATGCAGGGCGGGACTCGACCTGAGAGTCTCTCTTAGGTTGCCTGCCGCTCCCTGAACAGGTGAGCACGCCTCAGGGTGCTCCGCCTTGCCCCGCACGCCCCACTTCCCCGGCTCACGCCCTAGGGTTCCTTTTCTGCCGCCTCCGTCTCGCTTAGAGGTGGGACTGCTTTACACACTCAGGGAACTGGAGCTGCCTTAGTGAGTCAAGCCTGCTAGAAAATTTAGGAATCATGCTGACCAAGCATTAGAATGCTGCACTCAAGTTCCCTGGGTATGCAGGAAGAGTGAGGGAGCCAAGGGAATAAGAAAAAGTGAGACGTCTACTGAGATGGAAATAGAGTCAATTTAGGCTCCGGAATCGATCGCCAATTATCAGCAATTTATCCCCTTTGTACCCCAGTTTCTTTATTTATAGGTTTAAATGGGATGAAGTGATCTTTAATAACCATTTGGCCATAGACTATGTGCAAAGCCTTTTGACCCCTGACTCTGGCTCTGAAAGCCACCTCAGCTCAAACGCTGACAAGGTTCCATCCCCTCCTAAACCAGGAATAAAGGAGAGCTAGACAGGCTTCCACAATGCAAAGCCGGATTAAAGCTGCAGCCTGGTGGATTTCCCTCCCACGAGCAAACCCAGCCAGCAATCTTGCCTAGTCATGGTTGGGATTAGTCATTGCAAAGGGTTAGAAGGAAAGAGCCTTTGCTCTTAAAAGTTCAAGCACCAGAAGCACTGATAAATTCCTTCATTCAAGCTCAGACAGATTGGTCTGAAATCAGTCTGGTTCCACAGGGGACTGGTCTGCTCTGGCCATGTTTGATGCTACTGTGAGGCTACTGGCAGAGAATGCCATCCCATCACAACTGCAGCATAATATACCACCTCCCAGAAAAACCTAGACTCTGCTCAGCCACCTTCATTACCTGCAGTAGGGCTTATCACCCTGTGAACTATCTAGCATTTTTAACCCCCAGAGAATTCCACTGTGCCACAGAACACAGATCTGAGCCTTCACCCTCTCCAACTCCAAGGAATGTACACAATATCTAATAACCAGCCCCAGAATCATGGCAATTTATTTCAAAGTTGGATTCAGTAAATATATCTGAGTGCTTACATCCAAAGCCCTTTAGACCGAAACATCATTAGTAGCAGCCACCGCTTATAAAGCAACTACCTTGTGTCACCCACAAGGGAAGCAAAGTCCATTCAGACACAGCTCTTGCTCTCAAGGCACTTAACAGTCAAGCATGTGGAGAGGTGTCAAGAATTGGGAAGAGTCCAAGATTTTCCCTATGTGCAAGCTAGCAAGTTAGCCTGCCATAGTTTCATAGATGCTGGCAGAAGACATGAAACTTGAAGGTCAGACAAAGGACTTTATTATGTATGGCTCAGCAGGCAGCATAAGCTTCATGTTCACATCAGTTCCCCTTGCCCTCTGTGTTCCACAGGGGTGATGCAGAGCACCCTACGTAGAAACAGCACACCATGCATTTGTGTCACAGCTGAGGAATCCTAAGCTTAGAAAACCTCCTGCCTTATCAGGAGCTGCTAACCTGCCCAGTCTTTGCCCCATAGATATACATTATTATACTTCTCTGGAAATAAAATCTGCCCTCTGCCTCCTGTCCCAGAGGGAGTTACTACCCCTGTCTCCCAAGGCTGTTTGCTATGCAAACATTCTTAAGAAGACAGTTTGAGATAAAAGCTGTCACAAGACATGTAGAAATACCATGGAGAATTGCCCTACAAAGTAGGATGGGGAATTCAGGAGTTGCAAGGACGATGCTAAACATAAGCACAGAGAACTGTGGGCACAGTTAGACTGAGGAGACGCTTGCACTAAAGTTTGAAAGTAGGACTTATCAAAATTGGAAAGCCAACAGGTCAAGGATGGAAAAGCAAAATTCTAGAAAGAGGCATATGCAAAGCCATACAGGGGCTTGAAGTGGCAAGAATCGTTTGGAAACCACAAGTAATTAAGTAAAACTGCAAAAACCTGTAGAAAAATTTGCAAGATGGGGCTTCCCTGGTGGTGCAGTGGTTGAGAGTCCGCCTGCCGATGCAGGGGACACAGGTTCGTGACCCGGTCCGGGAAGATCCCACATGCCACGAAGCAGCTAGGCCCGTGAGTCATGGCCGCTGAGCCGGAGCGTCCGGAGCCTGTGCTCCGCAACAGGAGAGGCCACAGCAGTGAGAGGCCCGCGTACCGGAAAAAAAGAAAAATTTGCAATATGAATCTAAAGATATTGGCTGGATTCGAATGACTAAGGTCCTGAAAGCAGCAAGTAAGGAGGAGTCTAGGGTAGCTGGGAGCAACATTTTTGGCTTGAGCAGCTAGGAGGACAACGGTCTCCCTCATTGTTGGAAGGGCTATGGGAAGAGGGACAGGTGTGAAGATAAAGAGGATGATTCAATTTCAAATAAGTATGAGGAGCCAGGGACCACCAACTCTAAATAGAGTTGTCCTATAAGCAGAAGCCTAGGAGACAGGTCTGGAGAGGAGACATTGACATGAAAATTTTAGTTTTAATTATGACTAATCATGGGTGTGATTAAAGTCAATAAGCAGTGTGATAGGAATAAAGATAGAAGTCTTAGGAGAATTGGTTGTTTCAGGGGCAAGTAGCAGAGGAGCTAATGAAGAAAACTGACAAAGACTGGCTAGCAGGCTAAAAGAAAACTCAAGTAGAAGTACTTTCCTGGAAGCCAATGTGGGAAAGCAGTGGGTGGAAGAGGGAGTGCTGAACAGTATCACATCCTGAGGAGTGGTCAAGTGAGGTCAAGACCGAATAAGTATAATATTAGTTGCCATTACTGTGTCACCAATCACCCCAAAACTTAATAGCTTAAAACAACAAGCATTTTACTATCTGAAACTTCCCGTGGGTCAAAAATTAAGCTTAGCTGGGTAGTTTTCACTCAGGGCCTCCCATGAGATTGTAGTCAATATATTAGTTGGGCTACAGTCATCTGAAGGGTTGACTGTGCTAAAGGATCTGCTTCCAAGGTGGCTCCCTTATGTGGCTCTCAGCAAGAGGCCTCCGTTCCTCACCATGTGGCTTTTTCCATAGGGCAGCTGCTTGAGCGTCCTCATGACATGGCCCCTGGCTTCTCCCACAGCAGGTGATCTGAGAGAGAGATGGAAGCCACAATGTCTTATATGATCCAGCCTCAGAAATCACACTGTCATTCCTGCCTTATTCTATTTGTTAGAAGCGAATTACTAAGACCAGTCCACCCTCAAGGGAAGAGAAATTAGGCTCCTCCTTTTGAAAGGAGTATCAAAGGATTTGTGGATATATTTTAAACTACCATAGTCAACACTCTGGTCCCATCATTTACATTTCTTCTACACAGAAAATACACTAACTCCCTCCTAAAGCCTCCCCCAAACCTTAACGTTTATAGCATCAGCAAGAGGCTTGTCAGGTGTAGTTCCTTTAAGTACAGCAGCTCCAGTACAGTTCCTCTTAATCTGAAGGTCTATGAACTAAAGGGAATCTGCCTACCCCTACACATACACATATCCAACACACACGGAGAAGGTTAGGCACAAGATAACTGCTGAAGACACCCCTGGTCAAAAAGGGGAAACAGGATGTACATGGAGTCCACAGCAGTTCTGAAATCCAGCCAGGTCAGTTTTCAGGATTCCTTTATTAGGACTCAGTCCTAATCCTGACTGTGCCAGATGAGGTCACACGGGAAGAGCCAGCCCTAGATACACACTCCTTCTCTTCCTGCCCCAGGCTCTGCCCCACAGTGTGAAGGGTACACCGTAGCCTGCACAGGCAAGGTCCATCCTCCCTCACATAGCTCACTCCTTGACCACCCCATGGGCTTAGCGGTGTGTCACTGGCAGTTCTATCCATGCTCCAGAGAAAGGACTCTGAGGACAAAGTCCATGCAGGCCCCAGAAGCAGGCTCAGGACTCTTTCAACAGGGAAAACTGAGATCTTCTGTATCCAGAGTTTGGTCCAGATATGGAGAGGGTGAGCATGGGCTTTGGTGGGCATGTTCCCTTGGCCCTGCAGACTCCTTACCCTAGAGGAATAGGCACCATCTGAGAAGGGTTAGACTGGGGCCCTCTAAAGTATGAGACTTGGGGTGGGGGCTCCTCTTGCCCAGGTCTTTGGGGCTTGGCACTGGGAATTTTTATACAATTGGAACAAACATTTATTGAGGTGAGACAAGAGAAAGAGAGAACCCTAAGCTGTCGTTACAGTTAGAATGTGGGATGTTGGGGTGTAAGGTTTAGCAGTGGAGCATTCTGGGTGGGGAGTGGCCATGGAAGGGTGGAAGTGAAGTTCACTGGAGTTGAAGGTAGTCCAGGACAGGAGGTGAGGTTTGGTTGTTACAGCTACCTGCCCCCCCACACATCCAATACACAATGGTGGAATAGGCACAGTTTGTTGGCAGGGATACTGAAGTTACCAGAATGTTGCTAGGATAAGAGGTAGGAAAACTGAGTCAGGTGCCAAAGTCCTCAGGGAACACAGGAAGCTGGCCATAAAGGATGACCTCAGTAGAGGATGGTAGAACTGATGGCATGAACCTCAAAGGAGGTGATTTTATAGCAGGGTGGAGGAATTAAGAAAGTGGCCATCCTTCCTGTCCCCAGGTCCAGCCCTAGGT